CCCCCCCCCCCCCCCCCCCCCCTTCCCCACCTCGAACCTGACTCGCTGCTCCCCCTGTTACATGTATTCAATACACCTTGCTATTTCTTACAACTCGCCCCCCCTCAGAATACCTCACGGTGCTTCGCGCTAGGTCATGTGCTAACCTGGTCCGGTGGAAAACCCCGCGTGCCCCGTCCCGGCCTTGTAGGCATGCGAGGTAAATGGTCGAATGACTACGACATCCACGGCATGACATCCATTATCACACACACACCCGTAGCTCTAGCTACAGTAGTTACGTCGTACCGTTCCCCCCCCTCCCTTTCCGTCCCTCACCTCGTCCCTGACTTTGGGTTTGTCGAGCCCCTTCATGAGGATGTTCTGGGCCAGCGTCTCCGGGAAGGACATCTGCTTGTCTCCCATGTAGCCCAGGAGCGACTTTCTCACCGTAACCGCGTCCTTGACGAACTCCTTGGGGATCTCTGTCAAGCTCTTGTTGGACACCGTATTCTGCAACAACAAAAATTAAACAAAATAACAACCGTGTTCTGAAAAGAGCCCACAAAAAAAAGGGAGCTGATGAAAAACTGCTGTGTATTGCGATAAGAAAACATGCAAACAAGCAATAACCGTTCCACTTAAAAATGCAGCCAGGAGTAATACAAATGAAATACTTCGTACCGAATTACCGCGTCTTCAAGACACACAAAAATAACAGACTAACAATGCTATGTGCTGCATAAAGGAAAAACAAAACGTGCAAACATTACCGGTTCCCCCCCTAACCATGGTTGGTCAACGTGAGGGAGTCTATGCGGCGTGTAACGCACACGTGCTTCCCACATACGACCGTATACAATCCACTACAAAACCAGTGCTGCACTCCGCATTCCACCGGGCACAACGGGGACACGCCCAAACAACACCCCCTCCCTGACGGTAGAATCCTAACTTACAAAGCGTTATTGCATTTTTCATCCCGCTGTAAGATTGACATTATATCATTTGTCAGCCGGCTACCGCGGCCAATGCTAGTTAAAAAACGAAACGAAAAAAACAAAACAAAAAGAGCGCGCACACCTGCCACTCGAGCATCCGGTCCGCCTCCCTCTTCTTGTGCAGCAGAGACCCCTTGGAGTAGTCGCTAGGGGTGCGGAGCCGCGGGTAGTTGACGAACTTATACCTGGCCGGTTTTCAGCGACAATATATTAGGTTTAAAGTTTGACCATGCTAGCTCCTACAAAATTAAAGCACATCAAGGTTTCCTGCTGCACAACACTAAATCCTGTGCTGTGAAGAAAATTCTCCAGTAGGATTTAGTGTGGTACAGCAGTACAACCTACATACTATACTTCATGACATGCCACATTAAATCCTTATATACAACAGACTCTCCCCCGGCCTGACGTCGTGCGTGGTGCCAAATGCATGCATACAATACAACGCACTTCGAAGTACAACCACGGAACAACACACTGAAAATACAAAACAACAACCAACAGCCCCCCCCCCCCCCCCCCCCCCCCCGGGTAACCCCCCTTGGGGTGGCGCCCCTCCCCCTCCCTCCCGAAATTTTCCAAGTCTTCCCCCGGCATGGGCCAAAAAGGCCCCTCCATCACCCCGGGCCTCCCGCGTCCTCCATTCTTCCGAACGCGCGCTTGACCCGCCCCATCATTTCCAGGTTTAAGTTCTTGTTCCTTGGCGAAATCAAACGCTTTTGCTTTGGGGAGCGAGCACATCACACCACACCACACCACCCCCCCCGCCCGGGAAAACCAGAAAAAGGACGGGAAACAACAACAACAACAACAACAACAAGGTTAAACACAAAAGCACACGCATTGTGTAGGCACCAGCACCAAACAAAGGCATGCAACCGGTGGGAAAAAGTTCAACCTCCCTGGCCGCCAAATGTCGCACGTTTTACACATCCTCATTTACCTGTTGATAGTGCGGGAACCCCCCCCCCCCCTCAATTGTGACACGCAGCCTGGGCAGGTAAAACCCGGCATATCGCTGCTCCGTCCTGGCATTGTAGGGATGCGAGGTCTATGGTGTACCGACTACTGCATGATCTTTACATGACCCCCCCCCTGCGGGTCGTCGTGGGTCTCGAAAACAACGACATGATGCAGGTAAGCGATCGTGTTCTAACGACGGCGGTATGATGTTTATATGACCCCCTCTGCGGGTCGTCATGGGACTCGACATCAACGACGACACGAACGAATGATGTCATGCAAGCGACCCTGAACTACCGTACCTCTCATCTTCGACTTGCTGAGGCTGGCGAGCGCTTGCGTGAGCATGTTCTGCGCCTCAAGCTGCTTCTCTCCCCGGTCCTTCAGGATGGACGACTCCACCATGTACGAGGCCGCTTCGTTTACACCCGCGGCCTTCGCCTCTACCATGGCCTCCTCCATCAAGTCCAAGTCCTCCCTGACAAACAAAAAGTAGAAAAAAACAGGATGGGAAAACACAATCAGTCAGGTCCTCCCTGAACAAAAGAGAGAAACGCATGAACAGATGTGGAAAAACACAAGTCAGGTCAAGCAAGTTCCCCCTGAAAAAAAAAAAAGAAAAAGCACCACAGAAATGGAAAAAACAAGATAGGTCAAGTCCTCCCTGACAAAACAGCAAAGACTACTATTTATATGTTAGTGCAAAGGGATGTACGGGATAAGAGATATCATAACGCTTATTTCTTAATGTGAACACAACAACCAATGGCGAGCGCACCACGAATCAATCTACCATAAACTGCAGGTAGAGACTGGTGCTTGTCTTATCAATGACTTCTCAATGAAATGCCCAACTCGGTTCTCCGGAGGACAGACAGGGGCAAGCAGGGGGGGGGGGGGGGCTCAGACGTTCCGCAAACATGACGGGACCCTTGTTAAGGAACATAAACAACCCCTGTACCCGAGTATTTTCGCGAAATCCGACTTCTCCTCTCACAGACCATATGGAGGAAAACTTGGCCAGCACGAAACGAAAGACACCAAGAGACGGGTTCGTTCAAGAGACTGCACTGTAAACGCGCACGCAAACGCTATCACTTCGTGTTAGGCATACCTTCCCGACTTGCTCTGCATCTTGACCACGGTGGCAAAAGGACATCTGGGCCATTACTCTTGCCGCCTCTTGTGCGCGGTGCCCACCAAGACAACCACCACCACCAACAACAACAACAATAACAACCAACAACAACTACAACAGCAGCAACCACATCAACAACAACAACAACAACAACAACAACAACCAACAACAACAACAACGCGAGCGAGCTGCTGCCGACCTCGTGACCCCCGAATAGCTTTTCGTCTTCACCACCGTAAACAATCGACCATGAGAACCTAGACGATTTTTTTTTGCCGTGGTCCCCACCAAGACATACCACTACCACCACCACCACCACCAACAGCAACCAACGACGCTGTAGCCGGTGACAACCCACCTTGTGACCCCCGACTTGCTCTGCATCTTCACCGTCAGCGCCCGCTGCGAGGACATGGTCTTGCTCCGGGCCTCGTCGCACGTCGTCAACCTCTTCTGCACCGCCTGGGCAGCCACCACCTGGCTGTCCTCCTGGCACCCCAGCTCGAGCGCCATCTCGAGGGCCTTGTTCAGGAGCGCGAGGTTCTCCCCCATCACGCCCTCCTTTAGCCTCGCCTTCACCTCCACCACCTTCTCCTCTCGGTTGAGGGCGTTGCGCACCTCCTGGAGCTCCGACAGCTCGTCCAGCTGTGCGCGTGCGCGTTTTGTGGCAAAATGTAGTTGCTTGTGAGGGGGGGGAATGGTCTAGATATCAAGGGATTTGTGGAGTACTAATATAACGAGTACTTTGATACAAGACAATAAAAAAAAAAAACGCAACACTACCCGTTAGAGAAAATGCCCCAATCGAAGGAATGTTCGTGTAAACAACGTAGTAGGTGTGACGCTGGCGCCGACGACCGAAAACATTAACAAGAAAAAATAACGGTACATGTAAACGAAAAAAAAAATATATATATATATTCCAAAAACAAAACAACAAACTCCAGCAGCAATAGATAGACGACTCCAGCGCCGCCGACGAAAATAACAACCATGTTCAACAAACAAAAAGTTCCTGTGCAACACAAAACAATTACATACAGCAGACAGGGACAACTCTCTGGTGACCCATAACAAACAAAAACCAAAGACCCCATTAACCCACGGAGCAGCCGGTTTCACCTCGTCGACGTTGAGCCGTTCTGCCTCCTTGAGGGCCCTCCCGAGAGCCACCACGTCCTTGCTGTTCATCGCCGCCTGGACGTCCTCCATCACCTTCTCCTTCTCCTCCACGTCCCTCTTAGCCTGGTACGCGTCCGCCAGCTCCTGGCCCCGGAACTTCATCGCCTCCGCCTGTGAGAAAACAAAAAGAGGAGCGGGGGGGGGGTAGGCAAGAAGGCCATCACATCAAAAACATGAACGCGGTGTGCATACGTGTTACCACCACTTCTTCTAGGGCGACACCGGTGAATTGGCTTGTAAAAAAAAGCCTCCGCCTGCCAGAAAATAAAAATTAAAATCAGGGGGTTATTGTAGGCAAGAAGGGAACTGCATGAAACAATCGTACTTGGTGGTACCAGCAGCAGGTGTACCGAGTTTCTGCGGAGCACCCACCTTGGCGATGGCCTCCGTGATGGAGTCCAGCATCTTCGTGTTCGCCGCCACCACCAGGGCCTGCTTCATGTTCTGCTGCTCGGAGAGCTTGTGCGCCTCCCTCTCGAGCTCGACCATGGTCTTCTGGGCGACCTCGACGTCCATGCCGGACGAGATCCCGGACGACTGGCACCCGGCCAGGGCGGTCTTGATGCTCTCCAGGTGCTTCGACTTCACGGCCGTCCTGTTTCAAACACACATCACGCACGTACGAACGCGACGTCATGTTAAGGTGTTGCGTTGTATTGCAAGACATCATCGCTGACAAAATATGGAATACAAGCACCACGGCGATGATATATATCGTGACTCTGGACGACATTTACCCTTGTGTGTATTTGTCATAAATTAGCAATTGTTGAAGATTGTGTAAGACCATCACCACGCCGACGACTGTTCTTATTGTGTGACTGTGGACGAAAATTTTCTTGCGGTGTGTGTGACTCTGGATCGGAGCGCTCTTGAGTTACAGCAGAGAGGAAGCGGCAAGGCCGTGGTGAGAATGAAGGTACCGGAGCAACAGGACCGAAAATAGGACGGCAATGAAAGAGGAAAAGTAGGCGGTAGGTTTGATTGGTTCGTTGGTGTGGCCGAGATTTCTCTTTCCATATTCTCCGGCGGACAAAACACCCACACCCATACCCACATATATATGACGCTATTGAGAACCGACGTATTTCTATTGGCCCGCTGGTAGCGCAATCGTACACAACACAACACAAACTACACACTACGCACGCTTAATCCCCCCCCCTGACGCCCCCTCACGGGGCCCCAGACCAGCACGGCCTTCAGAAGCAGCCGGTTAACGCGGTCGATGCCAACAACGCGGTCGATGCCAATAAAAAAACACGCACGCACAAAACACGAACACACAGACAGCCGGTTAGCGCTGTCGATGCAAATAAACAAAAAAACACACGCACACACCTGAGCGCCTTGAGGCTAGCGTGGCTGACGTGCAGCTCCTTCTGGACCGCCTTGGCGCGGTCAACCTCCGGCCCTGACAGACCCATCTCCGAGGCCTTCTGTAGGTTGAGGTTGAGCTCGTCGAGATTCTTGTTGGCCGTCGCGGCGGTCAGGGCGTCCCGGCAGATCGACTCCCCCTGAACGGAATGGAAGACAACACGGGGGGCGAGGCAGTGAAACGGAAGATAGCACGGGTGGGTGGGTCAACACAGAGCGAAGAGAAAAGGCTCACGCGGGAGCTGATGAACTGCACTGTGAGCAAGCCAGGGACCATGATGAGTGCCCTTAGGTAGCAGCAAAAACACCAGGTCGTGGAAGAGATTAACTTGTGGTATTGTTATAAGAGAGATAAAAAAAACACACACACATACACCGGTTGCATGACCGAAACTGAAGTGTGGGAGCTGTTTCGTTTCCCTACAGGCTCTTAATGGAAGCCGCAGCCTGGACTGTTCAGAGAGCACTAGCCACCACCACCACGACGGCGATGACCCACCTCGATGCGAAGACGCATGGCCTGCGCCTGCTTCACCTCCTCCCCGGAAAGCCCCATCTGCTCCGCTTGCGCCAGCAGCCCCTTGACGGTGCTGTAGTCCTGTTTCTCGACGCCCCTCCTGAGGGCGTGGATCACCTTCTTCTCTTCCTGGAGAACGACCTAAAAATGGAAGAAAGGGGCGCGGGGGGGGGGGGGGGGGGGGGGGGGAACCCCACCGGGGGGGGGGGGGGTGTCAATAAACCCTGCAACAAACTACAAAGGCTCCAATTTTGGCGTGCCATCGTCCTCGCCGCCGCTGCCGCTGCTGGCAGCACCGCACAAAACACAGAGCCTCCTGCCGTAGAGATTACGCAAGGGACAAACGTTCTATTGTTTAAGCCAACCGTGTAATCAAGAAATCTAAAACAAAGGGACTAGAGCAGAGAGATAACGTCACCAGTCAACCACCCTTGTCTCGCTGCTGTTTAGCGTTAGACTCCAAGGCCTGGATTCCTTGCGGTTGAAGCGCACATCACGATTGGTGGAGCGCACAACACGGCGTGAACGTGTGAACACACACACACACACACATCAATGATACGAGTAGCCTGGGACGTCATAAGCCTTCGTTGAAGGGGGCTCGTGGCCGCGAGATTTCATCGCTCTCAGCTACCTCTCTCTCGCACAACACCGGCGGACACGTACCATGAATATAAGGGCAAATGGGAGCATTCCCAGCATCAACAAACACCTCAAGAATCCATACCACGCGCTTCTCGCATGCCGGTTCTTTTCGACAGCGAGCACAGAACCCACCCACCAACCACAGTTACTTCTTAATACCATCAGTAAAACAAAATTAAAAATTATGTCCAACTCCCACCTAAACCTCAAACAGGAGCGCTGCTGACGGAGCCAGGATCAACCAGGCCCCGACTAACTCCACGGGTGTGAAATGACAACCGTAACCCCCCCCCCCCCCCGTCTCTCCGAACCCCCCATTTTTCCCGACCTCCTCGATCGGGTCCGCAACAAAGCCTCCGAACTCGAAGTCCATGTGGGGGCTCGGGGCGGGGATATAGATGGGGGTGTGGCATACTGCGCGTGGAGAGCCCACAGAAATTTCCGGAGCAAAACAAGAAATTTCCCACGTTTCGTTCCGAAACATTGATGAAATCGACCGACAACACATCACGGGTCCAGGCACTTGGATAGGCATTCCGTCGCGGCGGCGTAACCCCTGGACTTGAACGACGAGAACGACCACGACGACCTGTCACCGACCATCGCGGCCCCCGCTTCCCCCTCCCCGCCCCCGAACACCAGCCCCCGCCGCTTGGCCTTCACAGGGTCAGGGAGGTACGGCAGCGGGGCCAACGCCCGGGACACCTGGGACACCACGCACGCCTCCGAGGGGCCGGCGGGGTGCAGGGGACGCCGGGACACCCGCTCCCCGGTCCAGGCGTTCTCGTACCACAGGACCCGTGGCGGGGAGACGCGATTGGGCCGCGTCGCGGCGGCGGCGACGGCTGAGGACGACGGTTCGGAGCTCGCGCGCTGGTGGTGGTGGTTGCCGCCTCCGCTGTTGTTCTGGCTGCTGCAGAAGCCGCGGGGCTTGATGCTGCTGCTGCTGCCGAAGACCTTGGAGGTCACCCTGCCGCCCCCCGAGGGCGGCGATCGAGACTCGCCCATCGTAGCTATCGGCGTGCTGGAGTAGGGCAACCTCGCGCCGGGGGGTCAAGAAGGGTGCGGGGGTGGCTGGGGCGGCTGGGGCCGCGAGGCGCGGCGGCC